CAAAATGATGCATGGGGGGAAGGGGACATAGTATACTACATAAAACCTCAGTTAGTCCAACCCTTTTGTGGCTAGCCAGATACACTCATATAATCGTGTGTGTGTGTGTGTGTGTGTGTGTGTGTGTGTGTGTGTGTGTGTGTGTGTGTGTGTGTGTGCATGCTTCCTACTGAACATGTTTTTGAGAACACAGCATGAGGGAAGGTAGATATTGAATCCAGCTTTGCAAACCTACAAATGTATGCAGACATGCTGAATAACAGCCTAAATCCGAAAATGGCAAATCCATTTATCAGATCGTTTTATCTACACATAATTGCTGAATGATTATTAATATTGATAATCATGGTATTTTAATTTTCAATTAGAAACCAATTGCGAACGCACATTCAAAACCCAAATTACTATACTTGTGGCAGCAGCACATAAGTGGCAAAATAAAAATTGATAAACACTGCTCTGTAATTACTCTTCTAGCGAGTGACTGACAAGCGTGTTTGAGCAGCCGCATCGACAAACAAAAAGAAAAAAGCTTTTCACCAGCAAACATCGTTCCCGCTGGCTGTATGAATCGACGCTCACTGTGAGCCTTGTAATTCTCCTCCCGTGGCCCTGCACTTCCTCCATCGCCATTCATGTCCCAAGCTGCACACATGCAGCGTGCTGCTGGTTGGTCCACATGACAAATTACTACTGGGCTTATTATCAAAAATCAGCACTCGCCAGAGGGAGTGGTTGAGGGGCGGGGAGAGAGGGGTGCGGTAGGGATTCCAACAAAGACTGCCGAGCATCCGCGGACAAAAGAGAGGGACAAATTTATCCTGCCGCTGACAAACTAAAATAATTATTTCAATTACAAATGGCTACCGCTCGGAAGCAACAAAGAGCGCCACAAAGGTCACCGGGAGTTAAGAGCACGTTTGCGTCTTTGTGAATTCACTTGTTTAGCGCTGTACATTATTGTGCATACTTATTTTTGTGTTTCTCTGGTTTAAGAAGGATAAAGGGAAGGGAGCTAATATTTGCCGTTGAGACAAAGAAAAGAAAATGCCAACCTGCAGCTTTGCATTGCTCAGAGCTTACAGAGGCAATGGCGGAATGTGATAATTTTTTGTGACACACTAACCCCGCCTCTTTCCGTTTTCAGCTGCGCTCTCAGCAAAACATAACGCTGTACACAGCCTCCCATGTTTTGTATTTCCTGCCACGCTCATGTGTTCTACAATCCTTATCTCTCCTTTCCTCCACCCTTCTGCCTCCATCACATGCTCCCTCGCTCCCACCTTCCCTCCCTTCCTCCGGCCGCCCCTTTCCCCTTTGGCAAACAGCCAGTTGTCCCTTCCTTTGTCTGCTTTGTTGGTGAGAAATGATTCGAAAAATGATTTTAAAATACATCTTTGACACAAGCCTGAGTTCAGAATGACTAACAAAATCCAACTGTGTGTCTAAAACATTTCAATTTGAGGCTGTAATAGAATGACAGATACTTGTCATTATTCACTTTGTCTGTCTGTAGCATGTGTTGAAAATAGAGATAGATGACATGTCTTATAGGACAAGAGTCAAGGGTTAAGCTTTGTGTGGGCAGAAATATCTGTATGAAAACAATTCTATAATAATGTAATGTATCTATTTATCTAATTTGCACCTCTCCAATATGACAATAACACTTAAAATATATTAGCGTTGTTTTCACAACTTGAAATAATAAACCGATTAAAAACTCAAGATCCTTATTTGTGTTGAGTGCAGTTGACGTCAATCCCACTTACAGTATACACTCATCGCAAAAACTCAAGAGTGTAAATAAAAAAAATGCAAACTGCTTTTTAGGATGATTTTAAGCTTTCGATGTTGATAATGATTACTTGTCTTTGTCTTGTGCGCAAAGTCAGCAAGGCCAGCTGATGCTATTTGTATTTGTACAGATTTCAAAAGATAAACAAAAAAGGGTAAACACAAAACTCTTTTTTTTAGATTCTGCTTTCTGTCAATCACCAGATGCCATCGGAAGGAAATAATGGCTAGGAAGCATCTTCGGCAAACCTCAAATCCGTCTGCTTATTAAAGACATCTTTGTTAGTGTAGTTGTTCATTTTAAGCAAGGTTTGATATTATGATAAAAACAATTATCTAAGCCAGGGGTGTCCAAACTATGGCCCGGGGGCCAAATGCGGCCCGCGGCTAATTCCAAAAGTATAATGAAATATGGCCCACAAAATGAAACTTGTGCTTGTCTGATATTGTACTTCTTAAATATAAATGTAAACATCTAATACACAGTAGTATTCATGTGTTAAAATAAATTCACTCAATTAAAGTTGGAAACATTTTCAAGCAAATCTCAGTCCAAAAAAAAGTCCAATAACTGAATTCCATAAAAAGCTTGAAATGCCCTTCATATTTCCTCTTTTTATAAGAAATCTGAAGCTTCTGTTTTAAGGGCTGAGCTGCTAACCAAATAAATGAAACCCTCTGGAGAGCTGGGATGCAGGCTGTTTCATTTTCAAGTATCACGCATTATTTAGCTACATTCGAATGATTTTGCTAACTTATAACTGAACTGATAACGCGATACACCTCACCTCTAGTGAGCGGCCCAGCCCTTTATTTTTCTGCATGTGGCCCTCAGTGAAACAAGTTTGGACACCCCTAATCTAGTCTTAAACAATATTTGGAAGGAACAAAATATATATCAAAAGTGTGCTTACCTGCTTCCTGTGAATCCGGGTATACAGGTGCAGTTTGCTCCCCACAGTCCATCACTGCAGACGCCATCATTCTCACAGAGCACGTCTTCAACACACTGTATCGGAGGGTAGTCCCACCTGGTGGAAAAAGAGTGTTAATGTTGCCAGAGATAGCCCAGAGAGGGCAAAAGTACACACTTCCTTTACTCAAGTAGAAGTACAGATACTCGTGTTTAAAAATACTCTGGTGAAAGTAGAAGTACTGACTAAACATCTTTACTCAAGTCATAGTAAAGAACTTTGAAATGTACTTCAGTAAAAAGTACCCATAACTAGCAGCTGTTTTAAAGAGTACCTGACCTCCCTTTATATTAATAGAACAATAATGTCATTGTTAGCTAATGAATGT